CTTCTTCAGGTGTCGAAAACGTTGACCTCTCAGTTTGTTTTTTTATGTACGGGAATAAAAAGAAGTCATTCGGTGCCAAGTCAGAACTAGACGGCGGATGACTTTTTTGAGCGATTGACAAATTGTGTGGGATCCAACGCGAACAAATTTTTTTGACAGTCAAATGTTTTTGCAATTTTTAATGTATGCTGGTCCTACTGATGCCTAAGGTTGTCTCAATCTCACAATAGGTCACATGATCAGTTCACGCACAATGGTTTTCGGAACAACTGATTTTGGACGACCTTCCCGAAATTCGTCTTGGAGTGAATCGCGACCACAATTGAATTCACCATACCATCCTGGAAACACTGGTCCTTGATGGAGCTTCATCGCCAAAAATTGAATTAAGTTCATCCATGCACTGTTGCTGAGTTAATCCACGTCGAAAGTTGTAAAAAATAATCGCACGAAAATGTTCATGATTTAATTCCATTTTTGGGCCAAGATGAATCTTTTAAGTTACTATAAACAACACAAATAGCGCTCGTATGTCAAAAGGTTCTGAGTACTTTTAACCTCAAAATTTACGATATAGCTGTCAGTTGACAGATTGCAACACCAGGTTTGCCAAATCCCGAAACATAAAAGGCAACCTTCGTATATTTATGAGTTCACGTGTTTAAATCATGTCATATGTTCCTCGAAAACTCCATTTTCTATGAAAACTAGCTCAAAATTTCGCGTTTTCTGAAACGCTTAAACGCTATTTTCTCAAAAAAAGACTCCAAATTTTGTTTTCAAAATTACATAAAAATGATAGGCTTCTTCTTAGGCTGACAATGCTGGCAAATATTTCGATGTAAAGAAATGACCACAGACTGACGGAGATACGGATATTTGCCGTCAACTCGGTATCTAAGATTAATGTTGACTACACAACATGTTACAGGAAATTACTCGATATAGGCAAAAGCTTTATCCACTTTTTAGTTACCAGAGCCTTGCAATACATTATTTTCTTTCGAAAACTTGTAATTTTTCTACACTGTTACAACACAACAACTCTTACAAAGTGAGGGTTAAAAATGATGTACTTTTAGTTGAAAAACCCAAGGAAAAGAAGCACGAAAAGAGCGCTGTTTCGTATGCCCAAGAATAAAAGGACAAAATCAAAATTTTTAGGCAATGTTTGTCATAGGTGCATTTGTGCAGATCATAAAAAATTGCACTAGTTGCTTAGCAGAAGTAGAAGAAGGCTGAAAACTTGTTAAAAATATCTCAAAAATGCCTAAAGAAATTTAATTGAAAATAAATTGGTATCCCATTTTCTCCTATTCCAAGCCTATAAAAAATGGGGTGGGTCAACAACCCAGGGTAAGATTCTGAGACAGACAGAACGTCATTAGAAAGATTTTGTCTGTCTAGTAACTGTTAGCTGTAGAATAATGTCAATGTAAAAACCATCTGTTTTGTGAGCTCTGAAGTGTCTGCCTGATTATGGGGACAACAATGCCCAGAATCGTTGCACGATTATGAAATAAATTAATGTTATAAGAGTTTGTCTGTCAAAAAATACTCTAACCCTTCCTTTTTTTTTTTTTTTTTTTTTTTTTTTTTTTTTTTTTTTTTTTTTTTTTTTTTTTGACATTTTCCAACATTCCCTTTTTAGGTCCCGTAGAAAAACATTTTTAAAAAATTAATTTGTTTTAAAAACATAAATAAACTGAAGTTATTAGTTGTAAATTGTTACAATAAATGGAAATATTTTTTCAACTTATGTTTTGAATCTGTAAGATTACAAAGAAAATAGTGAAAACTGATATGACGTAAATTTTAGCATCTGTTTAAATTGGCGCTGTTGACTCTCGCTCTTGCATTACTACGGTGATATGTGCTTAGCTGGCGATCAACCATTTCTCCTCAAGCATTCTTCCTTTACTCACAACTTGCCCCAATTTTATTGTTAGGTGCAGCCAGCATCACCAACTAATTTCTACTTTAATTACCAGTAATTACTTTAACACACAAATAAAATAATACAAATTGTTTTTATTATGCTATAATTTATTTTCACTTCCTGCATTTACAAGGAGGGGGTGGCATCGCAAGTGTTTTGTAATTATTTAGGGGGGTTCAAGCATGCATTACAGGTGTGTTACAAGGGGGAGAGCAGGAATTGAAAATACTCTAAATTAGCATTGTGTATTTATGGAAAGCCCCTAAGAGTATGTACTTAAGAAAAGTACTTATTCAAACTTATTTTATTAAAAAAGACGAGTATGAGACTATTATTTTCTTCTTGAATAACTTTTGCTATGGTTTAAACTATTTGGAGGGGGGGGGGGGTACTTCAATATGGTTTAACAAAATTACTGCCTTAAATGATCGGAAAAATTCAGTCTCTAACTTAAAAAATCAAAATATATAAAGCAATAACAATTCTTGTTGGAAAACTAATTAAAAATAATACTGAAATCTTTAAATAAACCAAAACACTAAAAATTACAAACTTGACACTGAAAGAAGAAAATGAATTTGCACGAAGCTGTGAGATTTTACTGAAACATTAATAAAGGTGGCTAACATACATGTGGACATTGAAATCATAACACTCTTCAAACAATTTTAAATTATTCATCCAAAATAAACAAAAACAAATGAACACAAGAATTCATGGAAAAGAATCTGAAAATTAAACAACTATGCTCAGATTCTAACATTGAATCTAAATATAAAAATCCAATAATTACGCTAAATGACAGTCACAGGATAGCAATATGAAAATAAACATTTGGCATTAGTATTGCGTACAAAAGGTATGAAAGGGCAGTGCATTGTCAGACTTCATTTGTACTTAAATGATTCATGTGTGATAGTGCAGGGAGATTTGGCTTTAAAAGGCTCTGACGAAAGATTGACTAGTGCCTTTGCTAACTACACAACATTGCCTATATCGTCCCTCCTGGGCTCTTGATCATATCGATTGGACCCTAGGCGACTTGAGAATCATGGTCAGATCACGATCAGATGAGCACCGACTTCTATTGGTAAGAGCTGAAGGTGGGATTTGAGTGTTGCATAGACCCAAGTTGCCAAGGCATTGTGCAAGCTGGTGGTGGCTCCATAATGGTTTGGACTGTTTTTAAACAGATTGGACTGGTTCCACTGGTCCCACCGACTTGACCATTGACTGGAAATGTTCATGTTCTGCTACTTGGAGACCTTTTGCATCCATTCATAAAATTCTGTCCCCAAACGATATAATTTTTATGGCTGACAATTTGCCATGACACTTGGCCACTATTGTTTGCGATTGGTTTGAAGAATATTCTGGACAAATGGGAGTGAATAATTTCAGATCACAACATGAAACCAATCAAACATTTATGTGTAATGATTGAAAAGTCAGTGCACAAAACCCTGCACTGGCAAAATTTTCGCAATTATGGACGGCTGTAGAGGGAACATGGCTCTATATTTCTGCAGGAGACTTCCAACAACTTGTTGAGTTGCTGCACTTCACCAGACAAGGAGGTATCCCATGACTTATAACCTCAGTGTACTTAATGATTTGCTGCTAGTCCTGCTCTTCTCTCCTGTTTGTTACACTGTACTACAATTATTAATCTAAATGCACCATTTCCTTCAACATATTTGAAACAAATATGAAATAAACGCAAGCCTGGTACAATAATTTGACTGGTTCTTGATTTTGTTATGAAAAAGGAAAAATTAACTATCCTTGTTTAACAAACAAAAATTATGCCCAAGAAATAACACCTAGTAATAAACCCCAAATTCCCCCTCCTCAAATAATAAACCCTAAACATGTAATATGATAGTACCCAGTTTTATAATTTTCTCAAAAACTCCCATGACTTACAAAACAAATGTCACTATCACTTGTAAATTTTGTTACTTGCTTGACAAAGTTTCGAGACTTTTTAGCGTTTAACATGGAGCAATCCCCCTTGAACATACATTAGTGATTTCTTTTATTCATATTGGTCAGGGGCTCAGTGCTGTTACTAACCATGGTTCTTGAACGACCAACCATCAAGGGATGCTGACTAGCTGGTTAACTTCCATGACTTCATGGAGCCCTCATGAAGTTTAGCTACCAGTACTTGTACTTGCATCACAACAAATCAATTGTGACAGAGAAGTTCATTAAATTAAGTTTATGAAGTTACACATTTCTCATTGAGAATGTTTGAAGTTTTGTATTCATCAAAACACAATGTTATGTTTTGACACAATATTCAAAAGAAAATGGCTCCCACAAAAGAATAAGGAATATTTTGAAGCAAAAATCACCAATCAAGAGAAAAGATTACAGAAATCTTGGCAATAGAATAGACAAGCAAACAATATTGCAGTGTAAATGTATGTATACACTTGGGAATATGCTACAAAGATTATTACATAAGACAAAGAATAGGATGTTCTACTGAACTTATTTATAAAATATTCTGCTAATGGTGAATAATGACCGAACATTTTCGGTTTCCAATAAAAACAAAGGGAGCTTACTTATGTGCAAAAAATGGCTTCCCAGAAATAGGTCTCATATTTAAATAGTCATTTAACAAATTTATAATAGATCTTTATTTAAAAACTTTTCTTGGGAGATTATTAAATTTTCCCAACATAAGATTAGAAATCAAAAATGTACATTTAAAACTCAATCATGTCAACATGACACCTGATCTCTTACAAATCTATTACAACAATTATCTTAACAAAAACAATTAGGTCATGCACACTAATCCATGGAATAAACTCTCCACTGGTTAACCCCCAGAATAAACAACTGAGTCCAATGCACACTATCACATTTCATATGCTGTGTATTCATATTTACCTTTCTTTAACACTTAATTTTCTGGAATCCATTTTGATACACAGAATTTCATATATATTGCAATAGACAAACTAATTAGAATCCAACTGATTAACTTCTCTTAAAAACATTATTTTAAATACATATACAATGTTCCAACACTTTAATCACTTACCAAATGGAGTTGGTTCAAATTCTGATGAGCAATGCTCCTCATTTTGAACCTCCCATGGTAATTGTAAGTTTGGTGTAATTGTGCACAGCACTTGTTGAAGGTGGTCACGTTCAACTTCATCTATATCCGTCAAATCAAGAAACGCTATCTCCTATAAAGCAAAAATAAATATGTTAGAGTAATATCAGGCAAATTGCAAGTGAAATTTTGTCTGCAAATTTAAATGTAAACATTATCCCTATAAGTAATGGCACACTACTCAAAAGGACTGAAAAGGACTTAATTGTGCATTACTGGACGACACGAATGTTGTGTCAAATCTGGGCCTAACCACAAAAATAACAGTTCCACACACGAATACATACTTGACAAGTATCATTTGCCTGTAAGAAAAGGCAGTTCCGCCTTTTCTTACCATGACGATTACGAATTTTCACCCTAAAGGCAACAAATAAAATAGAGATACCGTTCAACATTTCTAATTGCATCCCAACAAACACCAGACGCGAACACTTTACGGGAAGAAAACGTAAATATTAGAATTTCTAGTACTTTCTTAACGCACAAAACGTAAGTACTATATATTTACATGTTCTACTTCAACAGCATCGCACACCATGATTAAGCACTACAACGCTCTTTCTGTAAAAAGAATCAGGCTCCTGCCATTCACCTCTTAACATTATTTTGCCGGGCTTTATGTGAATTTAACGTTTCACACCACGTGCCAACTTCATATACCTACCGACATTTTGATGCAAGCATGGTGACGAATCACCCAAAGCCGATACCTAAGCCACAATATAATGTTCACACAGCGTTTTTAAGATGAAAACACGTGAATGCAGTACACTTAACTGAATTTCGATCACAAATTAAATATTACCTGAATGGATGAAGCCATGGTGTCTTATTTGTCATTAAGTCATAACTACTCATCTGAGGACATGTTTTCCCTTTGCTTCGTCGCAAATGCAACTACCTTTCTTGCCTATCTTAACTGTGCGCATGCTCCTGCGAATCAGTCTACACAGCACTGACAGACAAAATACTAACGTCAGGGCTGCCACATGACAGCAGTTTAAAGTATTCTGTGCTTAGAAGTAATAAGATTGAGATGGGCCGTACGAGAAAACTAGTCACAACTGCTTCGAAAATGTTCAAGATGTTTCTGATGAAAATACTGCACAATTTTTAAGACCATAACATGACGGGCATGGCTATAATCTAGGAATACGACACCTTCAGCACTATTTCATTGCTCTCTGTGTGATTCCAATTCTATGTGCATTAATTTCAAAGTCTTGACCAAGTTCCAAAGGTCAGAATTCTCTCTGAGAGGCAAGAGAGCGACATCTCTTGAAGTGTCATATTATGAGCTGCATAAAAATAGGCAGAAATTTATATTTTAATGTTTGGGATTTGTGTATTGTACCGCTTGGGGCGCAACCATCGATTACGAATGTCATTCATATAGGAGTGGTCTATACAGCTCACGATGCCACGTATTTAGTAGAGAAGCGAGCACTTTCCAGTCAGTCATTACACGTAAATCATTAATTTACATGTACGACATAAAGTCACGTTTAAAAAATAACGTCAAGCTTATGAAAATAATATTAGGTGATGTTGATGGGTGAATTTTTGTGTTACGTATAAGGAATATTTAAAAAAAATTGTTTGATTTTTCTATGAATGTATAAAAATGAGCGAATCGTTGTTACGCTGACTGTGCTTGAAGTTGGCCTCTTCCTCTTGAATAAAGAGATTTTTTTAAAACGTTCATCCGTCAATCTGTCTTTCGTCTGAAAACAACACTAGCCTTTAAACATTGCATATTATCTGTTTCAAAACTGAATACTCCTCTGTGGATTTTGCCTCACTCGAAGCTCTGCGGTTTTGAATAACTGATTTTACATTTTTGGTGTGCTTTACGTAAAGCATCTGGGACATTTTCAAACTTTTCTAAAAAATGGCTCCAAATTTTGTCTTCAAAATTTCTGTCAAGAATAGAATTAAATACACCTGTAATGGTGTCGTAGGTTTCACTCTTAATGCATTTTCACTCTTAACTCTGAATTTTCGAAAATTGCAAACGTTTGAAAGTTTTTCGATGTATTCCAACAACTACAAACTAGAAGATAGAGATTATTCGTTCAAATAAAATTTGTTCTGCCTAATTATTTCTTTCATTCAATTCATGTACATTCTCTTTACTTTGTCGTATACATACGTCGTATATGGAGTAATACACATAGCATTGAGCAAGTTATGTAATGTTGCGGCCCAAAACGGCGATTTTTTTGACAAAAAAACTTGTATTGTACGGCCCTGATACAGAAAAATGGGATAAATCTTATTCTAAAATGTAAATTACTCCCCCTAACACGTTACGTAGTCATATTTCAGAATAATTAAAGATGTTGTCATTGCCAACAATGTTTTTTAATTCAAAAGCAGCTTTCGATGGCTTAGCCATCATCATCAGTTGTCTGATACAAGAAGAAAAACACAAAAAAACAAAAACATTAAAACGTGAATTAACAACAAGATTATGATATAGGTTACAATAATTTACAAATTTTTTGGAAAATATATTTGACAACGGGAGAAAGAAAAGCAGTTCTTCCAGAAAATGAGATTTTGTCAGGGGGAGGCTCAGTTTCTGGAAGAACTGCACACCATACAACACATTGCTATGTCTAACGGTTTCAGTAGTACAGAACTCATTAACAACATACAGTACAGAAGTACAGAACTCATTAACAACATACTACGCCGCAAAATAGTCAAACAAAAACAAAAAATGTACACTACACTTTCTCCTATAACAAAAACACCGGACAAGTACACTTGCTTACCTTATTTTGAACCCCTTTCAGAAAAAGTCGCACACAATATTCACAAAGCAGGTATAAAAGTTTCATTCAAATCACAGAATTCCCTCAAAAAAAATGCTGTCCCCCAAAAAACACACAGATCTTCTAGAAAAAAGCGGCGTCTATTCTCTAAATCGCCACGACTGCGAAGCCAAATATATTGGTCAAACAGGCAGAACTTTCAATACCAGAATCAAGGAACACATACTATACGCGCAAGTTTTCTTGATATTCCATAGCGGGGGGTGCTGGGAGAGGAAGGATGTGGATACGGTACGGTTTAAAAGGGCGTACCAACTGTGGGCATGAACTTAATTCGCCAAATCATGGCACTAGAAATGCTACGATTGTTTTGAAACTACGCGGTGGTTGTTGCCAGCATTGTAAATGAGTACGTGCCTTTCCGAGTCAAACCTAAGTATGTCAACGTGCCGTGCTATTCAGCGCTGGATGAGGACTAGGGAGCCCGTGTATCAAGAAAACTTGCGGGAGTAATACATGCTTGGAAACACAACACCTGTAAATCTCACTTTGCCAATCATTTACTCCAGACAGGCCATACATTCAATCCACACACAGACATTCGTATACTGGAAATCAGAAACGCACTAACCACACTACCAACCAGACTAACTTTAGAAACCTACACATTCATTTAAATAATCACTTATTAATGAAACATAAAGCAATAGATCGCTTCTCCTTTAACTAAATTACTACTCAGACCAACTCCCACACCAACCACCTCACCGCGGGCGCACGGTTGACAGCGCACCGCAACCAGGCATTGCCCCTCCTCTCACCCCAGCGGCCGGGTGACTCTAAGCCCTCGGCTCGCCCGACCCCTGCGTAGGGGCAAAACAGCCATTGTCTATTCCGCGCGTGTTCTCCCGCGCGGGGCTGTTTTTTTTTACCCTCAACGGGGAAAGAGAGCAGCGAGCGCCGGCCGAACCGCGGGTAAGGGCAAGGGAGGGGATACTAAGT